CTTTTCGGACTTGACAGAAAATTTCAACAAGTTATATGAACAAGGATTTTTTTGTCGCTCAACTTTGGATCAAACTTCAAAATATATATATATATATAAAGAATAGGTGATTTTGCTGACAGAAACAATGGTAGCATTCAGCAAGTGTCAAAACTATATGTTATAATGAAATGATCCAACAGTTGTGGATACATATATAAGAAGAGAAAACTGACCCAAAAAAAAAAAGAACATTTAAAAATAAAAATAAAAATAAAAATAAGAGAAGAAGGTGGTATAGGCAGCATCTTTTAATAATACCAAAGGACGTAGTCGGTACGTGACGAAACAAAGTGAGTTATGTGGAATTTATTACACCAGACATGGAAAGGGACTGAAGCTAAATGAGCTATGGAACATTGCCTAATAATAAAATGGCTAACTCGACAAAGAAGACATCTTAATAATGTTGTAACTTTCTCATTTTCTTGAGTATCTATATATATTTTCCAAGAATTCTTTTTTCTATTTATCTTGTTTGTCTTCTCCAATAATTTTGTCTGCAAAAGAATTATTTTAACTATCTAATCACTTTCAAACCAACACATCTTAGTTACAAATAGTTTGATCAGCCGGGACCAGAAATTTATACCTCATGTTGTGTTACCAATATATATTAAACATAATTAATAGGGAATGAAGATGATATCGTAGCTGGTTCTCAAATCTAAATCATCTGGTTCTTTTTTTATAAAAAAATAAAAATAAAAAGGCAAAAAAATGCAAAAAGCACGATGTATATATGAAGCAATTTTAGTGGCTCTTAGGGTTTCAACTGTCATATTTGATTTAACTGGTTTGATGTTTTATGATTGATTTGTTTAGCCCTTGGAATAAAAGCTGCGAAAAAGAAGTTGTTGGAAAGAAAATGAAAGACATCCCTAGCTAACTTTTTACCACACAAAATGACAGCAACATTTACTAGTACTCAGTACATTAATGAAATTAGATATGTACAGAAAGAAATACCATTATATATATGTGCACAAATAGTGCACACAGAATATACCCACAAAAATTTGATCATTGTGCATATTTCATATATTTTAGCTTGTTAAGCTGATAAAATTTTAGTTTAGTATCATCTATCTAATTTTAAGGTGGTATGAAAAAAATTGAAAAATCCCAATATTTGACATTTTTTTTATCATTATAGATTTATTTTAGTTTATACAATTTTATAAAGAATTATATTTTTGCACTATTTATATAATAAATTACATATTAATTGTCTGCTGTCATCTTTTTTTTTCTTGTTAACTACAGAAATGCAGCAAGGTATCAAATTTAGCAGCTGCATTTCATATACTTAAAAAAAGTCCTTTATTATATATATATATTTTGAATAAATAAACAACCATTACTGAAATCTGTGGAGTTATTGAAGAAAGTCGTACCACTATCTATAATTAATTTTCGCCCCCCTGGTCCGCCGTGGACTTGCAGGTATGTCTGAGGATAGAAGTGGTCCCTATCATTCCATCATAATAAATACTAATATAAAGTAATTATATCTTATTTATTAATTATACAGATTTGGTAATGCGGCCAAAGACTGTGTCTTGTTTTGATGCTCGAATTCAATTGATATGTAAATTTTATAAAATTTCATATTAATATTTAATTGTTTTTATATATTGTAATCATATACTCGATTGCTTTTTTCCCCTCGAAATTAAATTTTAGATACAACACAATAATAGTGTATAAAATTTATATTATTTTATACACAACTATTATTTGTAACTAACTATATACTGCATTTACTATCTTCTATAGAACCCAATACGGATATTCTTTTAGTTTCACTACTATTACATTGCTAGTGGTGGGTATAGGAATTCTATACAAGACATTCGTTATAATTAAGGTCGGTTTGGATGAAAAAAATTGCAATTTTTTTTTTAAAAGATGCTTCTCCCTTTATGTATGTATTCCAACTGAAACTTGAACAAAAAAAATGCACACAAAAGTCAAAATGATGTTAGCCAATATTCCTAATATTTAAAGAATTAAGGATAAAATTATGTATAATGGATCATCTCCTTTATTAGGGGAAAGTGGGAGAGCTTTATTCACTATGATTTTTCCATTTACCTTTTATTCCTAGCTTCTATAAAAGTTAAAACATTACTTTTGAAATACTATATCCATATTTAAAATAATTTTGGTTTTGAAAAAAAGAAGCGAGAGAGAGTAAATTTCATGTATTGTGAAAGAGAAAATTGTAATTAAACTCAAACTGATATGCAAGAATTACTGCCCACTTAAATGTGGTTTTTCAAAAATTTGATGCTCTCCGGCAAGTATACCGATCACACAAGTAATATAGAAAATAAGTAGAATATCGTCTCCATAGGGATTGTAAACCAAGTACTACAATAACCAGTCCCCTTAAGTTGGAAAACTCGGTTTGTTGTTTGTAAAAATTGTGAATTGATTTTTTAGTAACAATAAGAAATAAAAGTAAAGACTTGTTTTTGAATTTTTATTTAATAGAAATAAAACAATAACAATGAGAATTGATTTGTAAAAATGAGAAAATTATTGTAGCTAGAGTGCACTCACCTTATGATCCCCACTTCTTACTTTGGATTGATTTACAACATTAATTTATAAAATTACTCGGATAAATTATTATCTAAAATAATTAGTTAAATCTCAATCCCTTGGCAATTTAACCATTTAATCCCCAATTGGAATCCTAATCCCTTAGCAACCCCTCATGAAAATTAAGCAATGAACTCTATAATTTAGGCATCCGCAATTCAATACACATCTATTCCTAGCATGCATACGAACCGTTATCCTACCCCTTTTCAGGATGAAAACCCCAATATCCCTATCTAGGGTTCTAACCCTCAGACTATTATCAACTATTAGAGTGAGTCAATTCTAATAAAGAAAATATCAAATACGAACAAGGTAGAGATAAAGATAATTATATAAACGAGCAATTATAAATCAATCCGCGTAACAAGGGTTTACATAGGGTTTGTGACCCTAACTACAATAAAAGAAAACTAGTCAAGCATAATCATGGCTAAAAATAATCCAATATTCAAAAGCATAAAATTAAGGAGAAAAGAGAAGAAGAACTTGATCCTAGGAATCCCCTCAGAGCTCTGACGTCGTCTTTCTTCAGAAGAATAGGTCTGAATGCCTAATTCTGTCAAAAGGATCCTATTTATAATCCTCTTTTCCTTCTTCCAAAAATACCCTTCGCGCAGCATGGTACTTCTTTCCCGCAAACCGGCGCCAGTTAGCGCTATCTTCCTTCTTTGTGGGCGCCTAGTGGCGCCATCCTCCTTCTTTGTGGGCGCCTAGTGGCCCCATGATGCTTTACTTTGGCGCCACTTAGCATGAGTTTGGCGCTAAGCGGCGCCATTTCTCTGGACCTTGGCCTATGCTGCACCCGGATGGAATTGCATTAACGGGAACAGACTTTTTATAATTTTCACTTCTTTTCCTGTAAAAACACAACCAATAAGTGAGAAATTTTATTGAAAAGAAAGAATCAATATAACTAGCAAATATGTATTTAAGTTGCTCTTTTATGACTCAATTTTTATCAATTTTAACACAGAAAATCACACTAGCCAGAGGCACATCAAATCATTCCCAGATTTAAACGTTGTTGTCCCCAGCAATGTACAAGACTCAATCCAGGAAACAAATAATTCTTCCAATACAACATCATACAGATAATCAAGAGATCACTATGCTAAGCATGACTGAATCAATGCAAAAAACTCCTAACAATGCCTTCTATTCTCGTGAACATGTCAGAATCTAGCTTGAACACCCCTCACCAAGATAATCATATAACGTTCATCACTCAAGTGTTTAAGGGAGTAACAATCACTCAATCCATCACAGCAATAACATTACCATAAGCTTGATCATATTCTCAAGTTCCTAAAGATGAGGAACATTAACACATGCATAATTGATCAAAAGGACTTCACTGGTTGTAACTTGGCCGGGCTTAAGGGTAGGAATTTATGGTTAGTAGCTCAAACAACAATGAGATTGAAAAACTGGTATTATTTCACTTTAACATCATCCAACTCAATGGTTTTTCTCCACTCAGATTCCCACAGAATTTCAGGAATTAATTCCTATCAACCACTTTTTCTTTACATTCATCCTTTTTCCGAGTCATCCCACGCTGCTGAGGGGGATGACATGGAGGGTTGAGTATATCTCATTGCTGACGGTGATTTTGTATATTAGTTTATTTTTCAATTTCGTATTTTTATTTTATTTTTTATTTCGTGTTAGTTTATTTCTCTCTGATGTTTTAATGTGTGCATTATAGTTTATTCTATATGCCACTGTTTGTTCTATTGTGTAGGTTTTTCTTCTTTCTCGTGGTTTAATTATTGCTGAGGAGAGCAATTCTCTAAATCTGGGAATGGTAGGCAGACTTGCACACGAGAATTGCAATTCTTCTATCAGGGGAGATACTCTAACTCTTTTAATTTTCTTAGTTATTTTTATAGTTATTTTGTGTGATATATATATACATATATATAAAATTGAACATGTTTTCTGAGCAAGTCCCAGATTTAGATATGCTTTCCCTAATTAACTTGTCTGATTCATCCTAGGAAACATGTTTTGTATGAATTTCTGGCATGATATTGTATGGGCATGAGTAGACTTCATGATTGCTCGTTTTTCTGAATTTTGTGTTTGAATGATTAATGATGCCTGATGCTGAGGGCACTACTAAATTTTTTTTATTTTTTATTTTTTATTTTTTATTTTTATCACATTGCCTTACCCTACTCTTTCTGCATCCTGCATCCGTCCCTTCCCTTTTTCTTATTGCCCCTTGGGATTCCAAACATACCCTTCATCAACTTCTCTCTCCCTCTCTTTATATTTCTATATATACAAGCCCTTTCCTCAAGTTGATATATTATTATATATATATATATATATACACACTCATACATAGCCCGGTATCTTAGCAAGGAGGAGGGCTTGTAAGGAGAGAGAATAAAAGGACTCTGTGCTTTCAACTTTAGTGTCCAATATATTGCAAGATAGAGCTATTTAATTATAGCCTCATCTATCTCCTCCTCCTTTTCCTTCCCTTCTTTCTTTCACCTCCTTCTTTCACTAGTGAAGAAGCTTGAGAGACATGTCTAGCTGCAGCATCGATGTTGCACCTGAGCAACTCTGCTACATCCCTTGCAACTTTTGCAATATTGTTCTTGCGGTATCTTTGATTTGAAAACTCTTTACAATTTAGTGGGAGATCTGCTTTTCAGCTCTTGCATGCTAATTATTAATCTTCTTATTTCAAATACCAAGTTAATGTACTGCACATACATATATACTTGGTTTGTTTCTTTTGCGCCTGTTTGTTTGTTTTCTTTCTCTTGTACATATCAAAGCATAATAGAATTCAATTCAGATCCTGAAAAGGAAGCTATGCTGTGTGTATGTACTTTTCTGAATCAGTGGATCAGATGTATTATTTTAATTCTCTCTTTCTGGGCTTCTAAGTTTTTTTTTTTCTTAGAGTGATCAGGTCTCCATCTATGGTCTTTTCTTTTTCCCTTCTTTTGCAGTCAAAGAAAAGTCATAGATACCCTGAAGAAAGAGCAAGTATGGATGTGGCTAATTGTGCCACCTGCTTAATTGTTTTGATAAATATGGTGGTGTCCTTTTGAAAACGCCAAAACCGGAATTATTTGATAAAACTATTGATAGGACAAGTCCTCTATTCTACCTTTAATTTCCTATCCCCTGCTTGTGACCTAAATTACCTCTACTTTAGACTTAAAACTAAAATACTGCACTACACAGCCATGTGCTTTCTCAAGTTCATTTCTTTGGCTGAATAGGAAAAAACAAAAACAAAAACAAAAATTAACGATTCCCAGTTTCTAACATACAAGGAAGAAACCCTGGATCGTTGCAGCTTTCAATTTGAGTTTTCTTCCTTTTACATGTAAAACCAAGCTGCGTCCTTTAATTTCCTCAGAACCCCACTTCTCAAATTCTTTTTTCTTTTCCCCTCCTTTTTCTTTTATGAGATCAGATCATCCAAAGTATGAAATAATCATTATGTGTTATGGGTTTCTTGTGAATTTTCTGTGTGCACTGGCTTAGTATACATATACATGTAATAGAGTAAGAAACAATGGTTGAAATGATTTGTAATGTTATTTATACAGGTGAGCGTTCCATGCAGTAGCCTCTTTGACATCGTGACCGTCCGATGTGGACACTGCACCAACCTTTGGTCCGTGAACATGGCCGCTGCGTTTCAATCACTGTCATGGCAAGATGTTCAGGTATTACTATATATTATTTATTTACACAGACACGTTTCCAATGAAGTGTGATGTTTTTAAAGGGGAAAGGTTTCACAGTTTGACAAACTAAAACATATAAATATAACTAACCAAAAAGTAGCAGTAAAATAATTGAATAAATAAAGAAAAAAGTAAATAGTTTCTTTGATTTCTGGATCCTAGGGTTTGTGGGAGTTATTCTTTTTGAGAAAATCGAAGCCTCCCAGGATGGTAGGTTCTGTGTGCTAAATCGAGAATTTCAAAGCACGAGTCTGTTACTTCAACCTGAGAAGTTGTTGGCGCCTGAGACCAGAGAGAGAGAGAGAGAGATAGAGAGTAGAGAAAACCCTAGGTACCTGCAGCCGCCATAAACAAAACCTATTTTGTTTTCTTTTTTGCACTTTTAGTAGAGGCGTCAGGAATTGTCCTAACCCATCAAGGCAAAGAACACTGAAAATATATCTTTAATTAGGGCTTCTCGATGTTACCTTGAGGATATGAAGTTCTCTTATATAGTTAGGTTTAATGATTTCTTTTCAAGATCATTGTCCTCTACAAGGCAAACACCCCTACTTGAGATTATTATTATTATTAATAATTTAAAACAAAAACAAAAAAAATGGTATCTTGGTGTAGATCCCTAAATCTAAGCCCTTCATTTCAACAACTGTCAATCTGGGTTTTATGTACTTCATTCATCTGATTAGTTGCATTCTTGTCTAACTACTCAGTGATTTTTAAAGGTGCTTTCGTTTCTCTCTATGAGAAAGCATCATTTCATCTCTCTCTCTCTCTCTCTCTCTGAGTTTGTGTGGTTTTCCCCCCACATCTTAATCACAGTAAACCCTTTATGCAAACAACTTAGTTTGAATTCATGAAAAAATAAGGAAACAAAAAAAGAAAAAGAACAATAAACAATAAACATTTTATTACAAATTTTAGGGCATGGTTATTGATGCTGCTTGCTAACTTTGATTTTCAGGCACCAAGCCATGGCAATCCAGAATATAGGATTGAAACTGGCTCCACTTCCAAATGCAACAACAGGATTGCAATGCGTGCACCCACCACTCATGTAACTGAGGAAAGGGTTGTGAACCGACGTGAGTATATATATATATATATATATGTATAGCCCTTTTGGTTTTACCCCAGTACTAATTAATATCCAATATCAAAATCATTATAACCACATTACAAATATTAAAATAAAATAAAAATTATCCATAATGTTACCTAAAATATTGATCTTCATGAGTTGTTGTTTTCTTTTCCAGCTCCCGAGAAGAGGCAGCGCGTACCTTCTGCTTATAATCAGTTCATAAAGTAACTACAATGCATTACAGATTATTTAATGCTTATATATTTGATTCAATGGGTAACATTAAAACACCTTTGAAACGTCTTTGTTCATATGCAGGGAAGAAATTCAGAGGATCAAGGCCAATAATCCTGATATCAGTCACAGAGAAGCCTTCAGTACAGCTGCAAAGAACGTAAGGACCATATTCAAATAGCTGCAATTTTTATTATATAATCTATATATATATATATATGCTTGATAAATATAATAACTGGAAATTATTTCATTTTTAGTGGGCACATTTTCCTCATATTCATTTTGGGCTGATGTTGGAGAGCAACAAATCAAGCTAAGATGGAGAACGTAAGTATTAAAGACAAATTTTTTTCTCTATATTTTATTTATATATATTAAGATCAGATCAAAATTATTATCCTCAACATTTATTTATTTTGATCTTCCATATGTTGAGCTACTGTGTGTAACTTCTTGCACTCAGAAAAGAAAAGGAGTAAAAATAAAACTGTACGTCAGGTTTAATTATACTAATGATGCATATATATATTGTACGTAATATTGTGTAAGTGATATATATTATAGATCTTTGCAATGAACCTTCATCTGATCATGTGGTGTTATTTGATTATATTCAGGTTTCTGAGAAGTGTATTTGATGTCAAAGGCTGCGCTATTGAACAAATGAAGGCTATCTTCATCATATTTAAGGACTTCAGTTTCGTTTCAGTCTGTCAAGTAAACAATTAATGTCCTGAAATTTAGTGTTTTAAGGACAATTAACTCTTTTTCGTCGTTATTGTACTTGTCACTACTTACTACTTGTTCAATGGATGCTTTTACTTAAATTTGAGGTGAGAATGCTGCTTTACCTTGTCACCTTTAACTAGTTTTATATTGTAGTGGATTTGAGAAAATGGATAAAACCAAATTTGCTAGTGTTTTAAGCTCGATCAGGAAAACAATTTAACCAACTTCCGTTTTGGTAATACTAACGAGAGTAAAGTCCAAACAATATGCCCACCAAAAAAAGTCCAAACAATATTACGTATAATTTAAAAGTATACATCTCTTTGGCGAAAAATATATTATATAATTTGTGTCATGAGAAAAAAAAAACATGGAAAAGTCCAAACAATATGCCCACCTAAAAAAGTCCAAACAATATTACGTATAATTTAAAATTAATTTAAAATTATACATCTCTTTGGCGAAAAATATATATATAATTTGTGTCATGAGAAAAAAAAACATTGAAAAGAATAGATATCGAGACATTGTTTTGTTAAAAAATAAAAGGATTAGTATTTATCATTTTAAAGGATATAAAACTATGTTATTTTAAGTGAGAGAAAGAGAAATACAATGAAAATCATAGGATAGAAAGTGAGTTTTTTTATTTAAATTTTAAATAAAAACACTAATTCTAATTAAAATGACCATCTTTTAAAAGAACAAATATTTTTGCCAAAAATAAAACTTAAAATGTAGTAACTGATTAGCAAATATTATATTCAATAGAGACTATAATTAATGCCTAGAACACGCCTGATGCTGACAACCATCTACCGATTAATAATGTCTATCTTGAACTTAAGTCAAATGAAACCTGGAATTGAATTAACGTCGAGTTTTAATAATTTTTATTTATATTTCTTCACCGGTTCATCAATTAATAGACTCACACGGTCAACCCGAACAAGACCATAATGGTGACAAAATTCTCCCTCCAAATTTTTTAATATAACTGCATACCCATAACTCAAACTTATTAAGACCATTAATTAAATTGAAACAACCTCTTACAACGTTTTTGTTGATGATTAGTATTAGACCGAAAATCAAATGCTAATCATTAAGCACTTACAACATATATCACATGTATCAATAATATAAGTACTTTCTTACAAGTAGGATTTTGGATGATTTTATTTTATTTTATTCTTTTAAGTTTTGATTTCCATAAAGACTTTGAATTATCTTTCGTAGATCTTTCCTGAACCACAAAAGCAGCATAACCAGCTTGTTTGAATTAAATTTTTGAATTAAATTTTAACATAACAGATTGACTATCAGTTAGAAGTAATTAAGTCGGTGTTTGTATTCTCCAATTTAGGTTTTAACCCCAAATACCAAATAAATAAAAAAGTGTTCTTCTCAATTGCTAGTTCCCGAAAAGATGATATTTAATTATTTTTCAAAAATTCCGTTTTCTTTTTTCTTTTAAACCTCTAGAGGGTCTATCAGGAAGAGGTATATACATGGAACTCAAATAAATATATATGTGCAATATATAAAATAATGCTTCAAACTTGAGACACTTTCATTCATCCACTATCTCTCTTAAACCCCTCAATTAACTAATTAAGTAAACCTTGAAGTAAGTTCAAAAGTGAAATTTCATGACGGCATGCAATCTTAAAGGAATGGTTTAAATGCTTACTAATTTACAAAAGTTTCAGTCATCGGATGCTTCAAGACACCACGCGTTCTTCCACTGAATTGCTGAAAAGTTTCCAACCAATGCACTGTTTTATTGAGGTTGAAGATTATGTTAAAAAAAGTGGATGTAGAGCTAGGTTAGCACTAGTAAGCCAACAGTGTTCTTAAGGACAAAGATTCAGGTTTCAGATATATACTACACTTGCAAGAAGGGTTATAACCTCATTTTTAAAGAATACGCGAGGATATTTTGATAAACCAAAATCGAACTAGGCTAAGTTAAAGTACCATTCTAAATGGATTTTGTCTCAGTTCATGCTAAGGAAAATCTTTTTAATTCTTTTTTTCCTGTATTATGAAACGTAAGGGGAAAGAATGAAAGATTCAAAATATATATATACAGGAATATACTTACAACCTATTTTCTTTACAACCTCTCAACCATATATTTTAACCGTTGATTTCCGCCAATCAACGGTTAAAATTTTCGCAAATTAAATTTATTAATTAATTATTAAATCACAATAAATGATAACCGTTGATTGACGGAAATCAACGGTTAAGATATATGGTTGTAAGAAGTTGTAAAGAAAATAGGTTGTAAGTATAACCTTCCCCTATATATATATATATATATATATATATATATATATATATATTATATATAATGGCATTCCCTTCTTTTTTCTTTTTTTTTTTATGAATTGCTATGGCATCCCCTTCTCAACATACAGGAATCTCCATAAAAGCACTAAAATTGAAGCAGCCACTTTTGCAGGTTGCTTCAAAAAATTGGTAACAACTTTTATCATAATATGTATATTTGAGTATTGACCAACTTGAGTGCTGTCCCATTGACAAACTATTGGCGGACAACAGAAAAAACAGATCACAAAATGAGGATATTTTCAAATCACCAAAACTTGTACAAATATAAAAAGTACAAAAATAAAAAATAAAAGCATGATAGTTAGTTCGATGAAATTAATCTTAATGAAGGGAACAAAAGAAACAAGCTTGATACCAAATGAAAGTAGCTTAGCTAGTAGTAAAGAAGCTGAGTAAGTGAAAATGAAAAGACTTTTGACATGTCATCTTTGAGAAATGTTTAAATATCATCAATTATGACTCGTCCCGTACCCCGCATTAATCCCATAGCAGATTTAAAAAATGTCAAAATTTATAAGGATACCAGGAGGAACTAACTCATCTCAAAAGAAATAATTAGGATTGAATTAACTCAAAAAAAAAAACTTGATTAGCTAGTTATATGAGCATCTTAGGAATTCTAGAGGGATACTAGGAAAACGTTGCACATCTACAGAGTTTCTTTGAAGAGTTTTTATTTTTATTTTTCCTACATTAGTGAAAATTAAATATACAACCTAATACTAATTAGCAAAACTCTTCATTATCAGGCGAATCCTAATCGTAATGCTTCTATCCTCTTTATTCGATTTATATTATAATATCATATTTAAGTTGGTTGGTCATTTCTGACAATCAGAATCTGAAACGTCAAAATCAAGCCTGTTAAACATTGATTTCTTTTGAATGTCATTTCATATCTGACTTTCCCAGCCGACCCACTTACTGCCACAGAGTCACAGCAGAAGCAGAAGCAGAAGCAGAGACAGAGAGCCCTTCCATTGCGCACTTGCCTTGAACTTAATGCAATCTTTGTCTTCCAGTAATGCTTAGCTTCCTTATCAACTTCCCCATTAATATACATCGGAATCCATCTTATATTTATGCCGAAATATTGATGATTATGTATTCTTTATAATTTATATTCATCACTTTCTGAATATTTATAATTAAATTCATAACAAACAGATAATTTCTAATTTTAGTTGAAAATAAAAATAAAAATGTAGAATTAAATTTGTATTGTTTAGCATTTTAAAATACTTTCTTTTACATAATTTTAAGAGTAATGTACTTACTTGTAGTGTTGTACGCATCAATTTTTACATTTCCTCCTACACTTCGTAGTCATATATAAAGTTAGGAAAAATTGTTTCTCCTTTCAAATGACACAACTTATATCATTTCACTCTCACAAAGAGGTAGGACCCACACCTTTATATTTTTTTGTCAACTCTCTCTCCTCTTTTATCTATCTCTTTCTCTCACTTAAAATAACACAACTTTACATCCTTTAAAATGATACACATTTTTCCCATAAACTAATTATTCGAAATGTTATTGACTATTTGCGCAGATTATTTCGAGTTTCGTATGACATTCTGTGTTTTTAATTTAATAAATAAACATTCAATACTTGTTTGAATTATTTAAATTATTTTAACTTAAAAAATTGTATTTAAAACATTATAAAAAGTATTTTAACCTAAAATTTTATAAATACAAACTAAATTAGTAAAATAAAAGTATTTGTATTCTTATAAAGTGTAATAAAAATATTAATTGAATTATTTTCTGAAAACTGTGTCGATCAACTTATAAATTAAATTCATATTATTATATGTGTATAAGAAGTTTATTTTGTTGAGATATTCCTCTGTTCACCACTAGTCCGGTTCGGGACGGGTCCCAAAATTAAGTCTTTAAATCCTTCTCAAACATAGTACTTGGAGGATTATGAGAGATATGTTATATTTACTATCTTTTTTTACTTATCACCTTTTACAATTAACGTTGTTATCATTAAATCAAAATCAAATCAATGACTTTCACTCGATGCCATTTTGTAACAATTAATTTGATTTTGCTACAATGATAACAAGATTGATTGTAAAAGGTGATAAAAAATATAATAAATATAACATTTTTCTATATATGATAGTTAATATTTAATGACACATAATGTGGTTAAATATTTTTAAAGTATGTTTAGAAAACTATTTATGGTATTTTTTGCAAAAGTATATTAATAATAAAATATTATTATTTATAGAAAGATTTGTGTTCATCCATATATATTATTATTAGGTTTGGATAACATCATATTATCAAAACTGATATCATTTATTCTACCAAGTAATATCCAAACTGATTAATGGTTTTTGCTAACTAACGGTGTCATTAATTGAATCGGATAATAATTTTGTAGAGCAGTTATAATAATTTTAAACATATTTAATGACAGAGCAAGGTATAAAAAAGATGCAGAAATTAGAAAAAAAAGGTATGGAAATAGGTACCACTAGAGGGGCCTTTTAATCCGATTTGCGAACTAAATTCTAATGGGCCTTATCCGCAACATATGAGGGTCCCACATTAAAAGACATGGAGATGTGTTTTCTTTGTTCAATCGGACAATGGTGGCGTCTGGACTATACAATTCTTGTACATATAACATTAGGGGGAAAAGGAATATCATTTTGATGTTTTCTGTGAATTTCCTTATGACTTTTTTTTTTTTTTTTAATGGTTTTGTAAGTAGAATATATATTTTGAAAAGGAAAGA